TGATCAATGTCATAGTTTCTCATATGGGTACTCCTAAAAATATTTGGCATTTATTTGTTTATTAAACTTAAATAAACGTAAAATCTTTTCTATATCAATATAATTTAATGTTAGTTAGAACCTTGAATTTTAAGTCAATGTAAAGTCTAAAATGCTTTGATTTCAATTTATCCGTGAAATGATGATAATTTCATTGTTATTGATTATACTACCACATATTACTAAACATACTCCATCGGTACACGGTTTTAACATACCATACATCAATGAAAATTCTACACATTAAATAGCAATTATAGAAATGCTTTAATTTATTTTAAATTAGTTGAAATATATACATTTTTAAATGATTTTAAAAAATTACTTTATTTTTAATAAATTTTAACACTTTTTGCAGCTTCTTCAACAAGGCACACGTCAGCCCGAACTTGATAAAATAGCGTCGTATTACTTTGATGGACAAGGCAAAGCACTGAGGCCCATGGTAACAATGCTTATGGCCAAAGCGATAAACTATCATTTAAATAAAGAATCAAGGTAAGCATAGCACTTTGTATGTACTAAATATATCTATTTGCTGCTGTTTATCTTATATTTTTACAATAAATAATTCATACACACATTTTATTTGTAAACAAACTGAAGGAAACTAAAATTAACAAAACCAACCCACAAAAATAAAAAAAAAAATAAAAAAAATCACTCAAAAATTCAACTATTAAATAAACTTTATGAAATTTACAATAAACATTTTTATGCTAAAAATTATTTGCACAAGACATTATTTTTAATTTCTGTAAAATTTACTGCCGCAATAAATTGATTAACACAAGCCTGCAACTCTTCAACTCTTGTAATCAAACACCAAAAATTTATTTAATTTTTTTTATTTAGATGTTACTTAACAATAGTCATAAATCCGCTTAAATAAAAAAAATGAACTTCATTAAGACATATATTTTCAAAATTTATTTTTATCACTATGTATATATAGTCAGTCAGTCCGCTAGTATTATGTGTAATTACAATTTAACTTAATTTAAGAAAAACAAAATTTTTTAAAAATACCATATTTAATACTTTTGTATCTTTTTTGCAGCCTTTTGGTACACAAACAACGACAAATTGCGCTTTTTTCTGAAATGGTGCACTCTGCCAGTTTGGTGCATGATGATGTTATCGATCAATCTGATTTCCGGCGTGGTAAGCCCAGTGTTAACGCGCTGTGGAATCATAAAAAGGTAAGATTAATTTACAAAGATTACGCGCACTACTGTGAACCTTCTCTGGGTTCATGGTTCTTATGTAGTCATCTGCTCATAGTTTGTGGTCCGCTGACTTTAGTAGTTCTAGTTTTAATTAAGTTGAGATGTAAAAGCTATTTAAATGCTTTAGTAATTTAATATTTTGAGTTACTCACTGGGCACAAATGCGACCTTTTGAGGTTGCAATTGTGGTAATAAATTCTATTTAAGTAAGTAAATGCAAGTCTTAGTAGCAGTCTTAGTAGCTTCATGGTTGATTAACCACGATAGTTGTTGGTTTAAATATGCTTTGAAATATTTCTAAATATTTTTATTTAGAAATATTTTATGTTTAATAAAAATAATAAATTAATGTTCTGTGAAGAGATTAAGTTAAAAATTTTTAATAATAATACTAAAATAGGAAGCTTCGGTGGTTATAATATAACCATAAATTTTTTTTAGTTTATGGTAATTCAATTTTTCTTTACTTCAAATTATCTTCTTGAAAGTCAAGTTACAAGGTGATCAAATTAAACTGCAATGCCATTTTTCAATTTTTTGGTAAAACGGCAGAAAATGAATATTGCAAACTATATACTTTTTGCGATATCTGAATAGATTTAGGAACTCTGGAACTATGGAAAGATGTTCTTGAGCAGATTCTTTGTCTGTTTTAGTATTAAAAAAAGACAAAGTATTATGCAAAATGTTCCATACGGAAAGATTATACAGCTTGTGAGTGACCACTTCAAGCACTTCAAGCACTGAAGTGGTCACTCATTTATTTTTGCATACAAAAAACTCAGATGTTTCAAAAAGCCCTGAACCTTTGGCAAAATCTAAAATGAAGCACATAAAATAGTAAATCGGCGCTGCATACGTACATACGTTGGGCAGTGACTGAGGAGAAGTGATTCACTCTCATTATCCTCTTCACAGTTGTAATAGGATTGTTTAAACGGAGGATTTAATTTTCTAGTATAGTTCCATAATCTCCTGTGACCTGTCAAGAAACTTATCACAGGCTTAATATTCCTATAGGCCAACTCAATGAGAGTACTGGATTTTTTCTTAATAGAACGTGGCTAAGTTTTGTAAAGATGCCTACATCTGCTAGATGATTTCCATCTTTTATTAAATTTCTGAAGCGAATAATTTTATTTCATTTTTAATCATTTTCATTTTAATTTTAACTCGTTTTAAATTAAATCCTTTTTGTATTTAAACCTTTGCTGCTATTGGAAATTCATTTTTTGTTAAAATAAAATATTTATTTATAATAAAATAAATATTTATTTATAATAAAAAATGTGTTGTTGTTCTTTTAAAAATTTAAAAATTTTATATAGCAATTTTCATTCCAAAATTAATTAAATAAGTGAGAACTCACACCGATAAATAATGAACTTAATGTGTGAATATGTTTTAAATACTTAATTGCATGGCATAGTTGCAGTAGATTTCTACACTGCAACATTTTTTAAAAGTTAAAATATTTAAAACATTTTTTTAAACGTTTTACTTAAATTGTTTTTTATTTTTCACTAAATTAATAAAAATTTGAGGTTTCGCAATTTTATATTCCATTCAGTTGCGCGCTCCTGTGTCGTCTTAATTGAGATTTATTACAGCTACGTTTTTAGCTACTGGGTATTGACGGTCTCTTGACAATCGCGAGTATATCCAATATTTACAGTTTCATGTAGATTAACAGAGTAGAGTATTAAAAGCACAGTTGCTGCATTAAAATTTTACTATTATTTTTATAATATTCACAACATAAATTAATTAAGTTCAACACTTTCGCAATGTAAATGTAAAGTATTTTGTGGTTATGAGTCATTAAAGTTGGATGTGTTCCTGTGATTTTGCGCTGCACAAAGTCTTTAAATGCAATTTTAAGAGTTACATACAGGCATATGAGATTACTGTGATTTCGCACTTAAATCATAACATATATAAATTTTTTTACAATTAAAAAAAAATTTGATTTAATCTTATATTTGTTTTTTATTTTTTTTTTAACAGGTCACAATGGCTGGAGATTACATATTGTCAGTTGCTTCCATTATGATTGCACGTTTGAAAAGTAATGATGTGACCATAATATTAAGTAAAGTAAGTTCTTTGTTTTTTGTTAAATGTGAAATAAACACTATATATCTATTTTTTAATCATATGATAATTTCTTAAAGTTTGCGCATAGCTTGACATAAAATTACGAATATACAAATAAACTTCAAAGATAGGCAGACAGACGTACGTGCAAAAATTAGTTATGAATTTTTAGTTTGCCAATGAGAGGGATAAATTGTAAATTCCCTATTTTGTGGTTTTTACAATTTTTAGGTATATGTCTACTATATAATTAAACATGTGATTTTTATGTATTTACTGATATAATTCACGAAAAACTTCACTTTGTCAAATAACTGGGAAATACATGAATATGTTTAACATTTTAATGAATGAGTTTTGCATTTTGTCATATGTAATTCTATAAGTATTTTCCAATTATAAGTCAATGAACTTTATTAAGGCTTATAATATTTAATAAACTTACGAAAAAAATCATTTATATTACAAATTGTAATATAAGCGGTTTATAATTTAGTCGTAACTTATCTTCTTTTATTTTTTATAACTATGTTATTGCCTCAAGTAGTTAAATGCCTTGTAGGCTTTGAATAATGTAATAAGTTTTGATTTATGTTTTTAATTTTGCTTTTTTAAAATTTACAACTTTTAATTAATTAATATTTATTAAATATTCATAATACAGATTTAACATTTGGTTAATAAAATTTTAATTTAGTTTGGTTAGTTGTGTAATGTTTTTCTTCTGATTTCTTAAATACAATTTGCACTGACTTTTAATCAATATTTGAAAGTAGTTTTTAAATGTTTAACAAATTGCATATTTCAATAAATCACAGAATACAATAAAAGTATGATGGAAGCAATATTTAGTGGTTAATCGTACTAATAAACATTATTCTCACAACAATAAATACACTATTCTCATCAATAAATATATATTTTGTCGATTTAAATTTGCCACTGGATTGAGACACGAATGGATATTATAGTTCTTTCTTTTGTTTTTGGTATTGTAAAATATTTAGAAATATCTGTTATAATAAATAAGCAGGTGTATTTGTAGTAAAATCACTATTAAGTTAAAAAATGTAAATAGAGCACAGTTGCTCAAATGATCTCGGATAATATTATCTTATAGACTGTGCGAAGAAGTGAATCTATTACTAGACAATAAATTGAAAATACATTTTACTCATTTGTTTGAAAATATTATCAATAAACGCAATATATTTAGAATAAATACAGATTACATATCTTTATCAGTTCTTTAATATATTTTCCATAAGAAAGCGATCCATTTCTAATTAATTAGGAGTTCATAAAGAAAGAATCTTCATTCGAACTCTAATAATGTTCAAAACAGTATTAAATTTCTTAGTACAAACGATTAATATGGTTGGTAGTATTAAAATGTATAGAGAAAACAATTATGATAGTTGAAGAATTTCGAAAGTAACAAAAATATTAATTAAAAAATCTTTGACTATGCTAGCCAAATGTTGTCATAGAAAATATCCTGAAATATGGAAAAATCTATCGATTTTTATAAGTATTGCGTATCAAATGTTTATCTGCAATAGTGTAAAGAAACATTATACGACACATATAAATTCTAGAAGGAATTTTAATTTTTAGAACACTCGTAAAAGCAAAAATCAAAGATAGGTTAAAAGTCTCAACGACGCATTCAAGCCAGTATAAAATGGACTCTCTGTACTAAATAAGGAGTTTTTAGACTCTCACGACATTTTTGACATGACACTGCAGGTTAAGATATCATCTCAACAAAATTGACTTTTCAGAGACCAATATGACAAGTATGAGAAATATTGGCAGTAGACATGTTTAACAAAGAAATAGCATTGTTACACCAAACAAAATTTATGAAATAAAATTAATTAATTAAGGTATTAACGTTTAATAAAATTATCGATTAAAATAATTTTAGTCTATCATAATAAACCAAATGACTCAATTATAATTGATGGTTGGATTTTGGTGTTAATATAGCTTTTATTTTATTTTTTCTAAATAGAACAAAGGAGTCATTTTGAAGTGAGATTTAAGATTCTTTTTCTTAAAGTCACCTACACGTTTCTTAATAGAGATAATTCTTTTAACATTTTTGGAGATATATTTGTAATGCTCCCCAAAATCATTAGGTTGTAGGCTTCTGTAATGGAATTTGTTAATCAGAGATAGTTTTAAATTTTCTTTTTTTTTTGCGTTTACTTATTTCAACTTTTGTTTTAAAAGATTATGTATTTTGGTTTAAAGAGTTGCTTCGTGAATTTTGCAAATTCGATGCTATTACGACTTTGGACGATTCTTGTTTTTTATACATCACATCTTAGGTTTTATACATACCACTCTGGTGTCTGAATTATATTCTCCCAATCTAAATTAGTTGCCAATATATTTTTTATTGATTACAATTTTGTTCCCCCAATCTTACAAATCGGCTTTCAATATATTTTGTGATTGATTATTGTTTGCGTATATTTACTTGGTTTGTCCGCATCGCTTACTGATCTTTCAGTTATGTTCTGCTAATCTTACAAAATAATTTTAATAATGTTTGTGAACAGCTTGTAATAGAGATTTAAATAGAAAAATATACAGAGAGATGAAAGCAGTTACCATAGAGAAATACGACGACAGATAATACTTGATTTATGTTTTTGTTAAAAAATATAAGGTTGAGATAGTTTTCAACTTCCTCTTTACCACACGTTCCACACATTTTGTTCAACTTAATGTATTCTCTTTGTACTGCAGTGTGAAGGGTATGCCAAATACCATATCTACAAATGAAAATACCATATTACCATTGACCATACTTGGTCTTGCTGCCTAAAAATATAAGGTTAAGATAATTTTCAACTTTCTCTTTACCACGTTTCAAACATTTTGTAAAACTTAATGTATTCTCTTTGTACTGCAGTGTGAAGGGTATGCCAAATACCATATCTACAAATGAAAATACTATATTACCATTGACCATATTTGGTCTTGCTGTCTAAAAATATAAGGTTAAGTTAGTTTTTGAGTTCTTCTTTACAGCTTTCCAAACATTTTGTTCAACTTAATGTATCCTCTTTGTAATGTAGTGCGAAGGGTATGCCAAATACCATATCTACAAATGAAAATACCATATTACCATTGATCATACCTGGTCTTGCTGTCTGGAAATATAAGGAAGAGATAGTTTTCAACTTCCTCTTTACCACGTTTCAAACATTTTGTTAAACTTAATGTATCCTCTTTGTATTGTAGTGTGAAAGGTATCTCAAATACCATATCTACAAATGAAAATACCATATTACCATTGACCATACTTGGTCTCGGTGTCTAAAGATATAAGGTTAAGTTAGTTTTTGAGTTCTTCTTTACAGCGTTCCAAACATTTTGTTCAACTTAATTTATCCTTTTTGTACTGTAGTGCGAAGGGTATGCCAAATACCATATGTACAAATGAAAATACTATATTATTACTGACCATACTTGGCATTGGGTAAGTCTGCATATGAAAACAAAAGTATATTTCTGAAACTAGTTTTTCTTTTTAATTTTTTCGTGATACCTACACATTTATATGAACAACTACGAACAACTAAAAAATCGTTTATTTTATCCTTATAAACAAAAAAAAATAAATAAAAAAAAAAACAAACTAAACAAGTTTAAAAGTCATTGAAAAAATTCAAGGAAACGCGTTTGTTCAACTTTAAAGGTCAGTAGATAGATAGATGGATTGCACGCATTGCACGAATTGCAGACGCACAAACTTTAATCGTATCTGACGGTTTTACCAGCAATTGGATTGCATATCAACAACATTTTTATCTGAGTTGTTTGTCTTCCTTCCTTCATTGCGGACATTCCTTAAAGATTAATAATTATAAAAAAATATTAGTCGGCTTTTATCAAAGTTGTTTAAATTTTAATCAAATTTTTTTGTTTTTTTGAAAATATTCAAATTGACATTTTAACAAATTAACGCATAATCAAATTAATTTGTCACAATTAAGTTGCATTGAATGCATTCGCTTACACGTAAAATACAGCAATTTTATTAAAATTTATGTCACTTTTGGAATTCGAGTTAATTTGAAGCTTAGGGTTTAACTCTTATATCTGAATGGTGTAAACATTTTTTCAAAAATTCAAAAATTTTTTTTTTTGGTTTTGTAAATAGTAAAACGTGCTGGCTACTTCTATTGCATAACTTTTGATTGGTTCAGTTTGGTTGATTTCCAAATGTTTATGACAAATACATATTTTAAAGCTTAGTCTGTCCGCGTTTCCTATTCATACACATAATTTCTATTAATGCCTTATTTTAATTTAATTTTGCTTTGTTTGCATCTAAAATCTACCGCAACCGTTTATTTATCTACAATATACAATATACAATATACAATATACAAGGCGTGCTCACAGGTGTGGCAAATTTTTCGTTTTATTTGCATACTTTAAAGATATGCAAACAATTCGAACACATTTTTCGACATCTTTTTTTAATTATTTCATTTGGCGGTGGGTAAGTTAGAAAGAAGAGAGCTAACATAGCTGCTATGGACATTATAATATCTTAATTTTAACATATCAGTTTTGTCATATTTATGACAGTATATGATTTAAATAATATTATGAAATAAACGCATATCATAAAAATAATAAAAATAATTTAATAGCTTGAGTATTCATATTAGGTTAGGTAAGGTTATTCTGATTATCTGATTAGCCACACATAGACCATTTAATTTCTAGCGAGTTAAAACAAAGCAAAACCTCTGTGTATAGATTTCTAGTAGGTAGCATAGTAGTGTAAGATGACAAAGTTTTGCATATGTAAAAAGTGCTTGAAGCTTACTTTCTGTGTTTTACTCCAACTTCCCAAATTCTAAAGCTTACAAGCATTTTAAGTCACAAACATAAGAGATGTTTTGAATTGCTTTTTTCTTCAGTTCTATGTATTGCCTTCATTTGATATTATTTGTAATTTCATTCTAAGATCATTTATAGTAAGCAAAAAACAAAAATCAAAATACTAGCTAATAACACCAAAAACTGGTAAATAAGTAAAAGAAACATAAAATAAATTAGACAAAAACAACATAAAATCGTGTAAAAGTGCTAGCGAACAGCACCAAAAAAGAGCATACCAGATTCAAATGTGAGCCAAAGTGTGATAGCTAACTGTACTAAAAAGGGGGTAAAACAGAACCAACTACGAACGAAAGTGCCAGCTAATGTTAATAAAAGTGAACAATGTTAGTTGATGTTACTTACTGTCAAAACATTAAGTGTAACTTCCAACAGCGGTTGGATTTAGACTTTAAATCCACTTATCAACAGCAATGTCCTAGAACAATAAAAGTTAGTCCTCAATATGACTGATGTTTCTCAATTTTGCATATCAAGTAGACATTTTATACGTAAAAAGTGTGTAGATTTTTTATAATTTTACTTTAAAGAATTGTTATTTTTTAGTTCCTCTTTAATGGTTATAAAATAATAATGTTTACCCATATAAACGTTTTCTAGTGCTCCCGTTAATCTTGAAAGGGTTGGAAACTTGTCACCAGGTCACTGCATCCTTTGAGAATTATTGTGACAATACCATTAATCTTAGTAACTTCAGTTACTATGACTTTTGTTTACCAATCTCAGTAGGTTGTAAGGTAGTGAGCAAATGAAGCCCGTTGTAAAACATCTTAAACTTGCAACGTTATAAGGTGGAATTTGAACATAAGTTTGCATAACCATGGCGCCCACAGCTGCATTGAGTCGAAGTTATCTGTTACGATTAACGAATAATCGTTTTCATATTCTTTTTATCTTAAGAAATGGATTTCGCGCTGTGATCTTTTCAAGTGTGATGTTAGTTTAAGTTAGATTGGAGTATTAGTTTTTTCCATTAAAATCCACTTAAGTTTTACTATTGATGAGATAACATCTATACTCAGGTCTGTGGGTTAGATGATGTCACATCCATAGTAACACTTAAGTGAGCTTTGATGCAGAAAACTGCTACCATAGAAGTAGAAGCGAACCAACCAGACATGTCTCTCAACTTGGATATATTTTTGATTCTTGATTTTAAAGAATATCTATTTTATTTGGTCAGTTAATAAAGGGGCCTCGAAATTTTTAATCTTTCTTTAAGTCAATGATGGTAACTGATACATGAGGTGGCGGTGCCGAGCTACAGTCTCGACAGAACTTTAATAATTGACAGAAGAAATAATCAAAAAGTGATAAAATTTTTAAAATTATTAATCTAACTCTAGAAATTATTTATAAAATATATTTTTAAGAGTAGTTTGAACTCCGAGTTAAATTTTTAAGAGCAGGTTAAGGCCTGATTTATATTTGTCTCTCAAAATGAGAGACCTTTAGTTTTAAAGGTGACAAAATGCTAATAATCATAATCTATAAATGTGGATTATATACCTATATGTCTCAAAATGGATTTTAGTTTTATACGTAAGAAAATGTTCAGAATCATACTATATAATCTATAAAGGTGTATTATATATATGTCTCAAAATGAGTTTTACTTTTTAAAGATGACAATATGCTTAAGCACAATTACTCATTTGAGTTTTCTGTGTAGTTTTGTTTTTGACATTGTAGATTTGTATAAATTGATTAATCCGTTAAAAATAAGTATTTTGTTTCGTTTGATGATACCGACATTTTAGATAAAACAATAATATCTTAGTTGATTTTATTGACAATCACAATAACCATTTTAAGATTAATTTATAATATAATAAATAGAAACAGAAATATAAATTTTATCACTTGTATAAATTTTCTTTTATTTTTATTTTTACTTTTGCTGTTTTTATCTAAGTATGTATGTATAATGTATACGACATGGTTTTTTTTTATAACCACCCAAAACTCCCGTAAATATTTTATGAACTAAAAATTTCGATCACGTTTTTGAACAATATTAGTAGAATTTAATTCCCTAATTGAAGGAATTCATAACGAACAAGAGGCCACAAGTGCTAAGATTATTCACATTTAATGTATCTATTCACAAGCAACAATGCGGAATTTACCAAAACCATATAACGTATTTATTAATGGAAATTTGTGACTTGTAAGCTAAAATTATGTAAATAAAGAAATTTTTAAAAATCTACAAAATTTTGTAAAAGAAGAAGAAACTCTTAGTAAATAGTATTTTTTTTTTGTTTATTTTTTTTTTTTTTTGATTTTTTGTTTTAAATAAATTTTGGAAAACATAAATGTAAATGAAGTATTTTTGTTTGACAGTTTTTATGAGATAAGTGTTAAAAAATTTTTTTTAGTTAAATTTTTATTTTAGTTAAATTTAATAAATTCAGATTTGGCACTTTCAGCTTTAAGCTTTATTATAGTTATTTTTAACAATATTTGTAAGAAAGCAATAAGAATGAAAAGGATACAAAGAGTTATATATTTAAGTATCTAACTAAGTTGTCTTTAAATATTTGCACGCCGTGCACAGTTTATACTGCCAAAACTACTAAGGTTGCATA